TCATCATCATAGCAGCAACACTTTACCTGTATTAGGTCCTCACTATGTCCCAGATTGGCTGTTATAAATGCAAAAATCTTCTCATATTGTTATACTTGGAAATGTTAAAAAATACAAAATCTGTTATACTTGAAAAAATCTCATTTAATGCTCAACACTCTATGAGTTAACCCCGTTTGTATTGTTAACCCCATTTCACAGGCGTGTGACACTCTGGCCCTGAGAGGTTCCAAGCTAGTACTAGTGGGGTGAGACTGGGAACCCTGGCACCATGACTGCAGGGGCCAAGTTTTTTTGTTTTTTTGTTTTTAAATTTGTATTGGGTAACAGTGTGTTTTTCCCAGGACCCATCAGCTCCAAGTCAAGTTGTTGCCCTTCAGTCTTAGTTGTGGAGGGCGCAGCTCAGCTCCAAGTCCAGTCACCATTTTCAATCTAGTTGCAAGGGGGGTGGGGTGGGGGTGGCAGCGGCGCAGCCCCCCATCCCATGTGGGAATTGAACCAGCCACCTTGTTGTTAAGAGCACATGCTCTAACCAACTGAGCCACCCAGGAGCCCCAGGGGCCAAGTGTTTAGCCACATACATGCTGTGGTACTGCACAGCACGGCTCCCTCATTCCTGCCTCTGAGCTGAGACCTCCCTTTCTCACTCATTTCCTAACTCAGGACCGTATATATGTTCCATGTCTTCTGCTGATTTCAGCAGATTGGCTAGATGATGTAGCCAAGTGGGGTCTCAATGGAAAAACAAACTCCAATTTATTAGGGGTGGCAGTCAGGGGCCAGGAAAGGGAGGTAAGGAATCAGAAGTGTCATGGATATGGGCCAGCCCTGGAGACACTCAGAGCTCATGTTAGCCCTTCCAGTTTCCATTCCCCCCCGGGGGTGGGGGGTGGGGTGGGGGGGGGCAGTTTACACGGCATCTGCCTCTTCCTTCAGGTAAAATTCCACATGCCCACAGGGGCTGGCTTCATCCTCAGAGGCCACAACAGGATAACCATCTCGCAAAGAACCACAATCAGCCTGGCATGTCTTCTAAAGATACACTTATACAGTAACAGAGGTGGGTGGGTACTTTCTTGTCAGCTGGATTTTATTCATTTTTTATAAGGTAAATGCAATTTCTTTTTTATTATTAGTTTCAGGTGTACAAAAACAACATAGTGATTAGACATTTACACTGTCAGCTGTGTTTAGATTTTGCCTCTTAATTGGATGTGTTTGCCCATCCTCTTTGCTGATCTAACACAATTCATCCGGGAGGATGGGGTTCCTGCGATGGCTGTGGGAAGAGGCCTGTTTACTGCTTCTAAGTCAGGGGTGAGGACGGTTTCAAAGGTGTGAGCGAAGCATGTGGTCACCAACCTTCCTGCTACTTCCATAATTATTCAGTAATTTCAGAGCCGTTCTGGTTATTTATTGCAGTGTAACAAATCACCCTTCAGCTTAGTGGCTTAAAACAACAATTATTGTTCTCTCTCTCCTGGTTTCTGTGGGTCAGGCATTTGGGAAGGACTCCCCTAGGCAGTTTGTCTCTGCTCCATGCAGTGTTAGCTGGGGAGGCTTGTCTGGGCTGGAGGATCTGCGTTCAAGAGGACTCTCTTTCATGGCGGGCCAAGTGGGGCTGGCTATAAGTCAGGAGCTCAGCCAGGGCTCGGGGCTGGAGGTTTCATTTCCTCTCCATGTGGGCCTGTCCTTGGGCAGCTTGGGCTTCCTCACAGAATGGTAGTTAGGTTCTAAGAGCAAACACCCCAAAAGAGAGATTGAAAACTACCATTTTTTTAATGGCCTATGTTCAGAAATAGGCACAGCATTACTTCTCTTGTTCAAGCAATCACAGATTCAAAGGGAGGCGAGATAGACTTCCGTTTTTGGAGAGAGCATGGTCAAAGAATTTGGGGGCCATGTTTAAAGACATCCACACTGGAAAAACTTAATAATTGTGCCATGTAGAACAAAGGTAAAGCAGCTGTGCGTTTAAGATACTCAGAAACACAAACACAACTAGATGAATTGCAACTTGGCTTAGTTCCCTGTGTCCTGAGGTAAGCCACAGCCAACACTTCCTCATACGCCTCCCTCCTCAACGCATCTGGGAATAGTGGTCCTGAGGTTCATTTGGAGAGAGATAAAAACTAGGAGCATTACTTCAGTGCTTTCTTTTCAGGACAGCAGACTTGGGGAGAAGGGGGAAAGCAACCATGCTACCTTAGTTCCCCCATGAGTAAGATGTGAAGACTAATGGTACTTACCTCATAATATTGTGCTATAAAATCTAAATACATTTCTATAGGCTTGGTAAAAGGAAGAATCGGTTTTCTAGATGTTCAGAGGAGAGACGGTCACTGAGAGCTGCAAGGTTCAGGAAGACTTCGTGGTAGAACCTCACTTCCCATTTCCATCTCAGGGCCTTCCATATGGCTTCATGCCCACCTCTCCACGCGTGCTGTCATCAAGGGCACCACCCAGGTTCATCCTTTTTAGGCTGGCCGCAGATTTTGACACAGTGGACTGCCTTTTCTTTCTTGGACTTCTCTGTTTCTTTGTGATGTCCATGTTCCTCTCACCTCTTGACTCTTCCTATCTGTCTCCTTTCCTGGCCCTTCCGGCTCCTCCTCCATTAGCAGTAAGCACTGCCCCTCCCCCAAGCTTCTATCCTCTTGACCATCTTCAGCACACTTCCCTGGAGGGCCATCTTTCCCTCTGCTTCACCACCCCCTTTGTATTCATGATCCCACCACGTCTCTATGTCTCCAGCCCTCTTTCCTGGACTTTATACCCATAGTTCTAACCACACTTCATCTATTCTTTCAGCAAATCTTTATGGGGCATCCATTGTGTGTTGAAGATGGGCATGGTTTCTGCCCTGTGGGACTTACACATAAGCCAAGGTGACCTTCGTTCAGCAGCCAGTCACACCATTAAGTACTTAATTACAATCATGACAAGGGCTACAAAGGAGAAGAGTACCTGGGAGGCTGACTGAATTCTTCTCCATGGTCAGGAGAGGCATGAAGAATTAGGGTCCAAGGCGAACTATGGCTGAGTGTGCAGGGAGCCAGGGAAGAGTAAGGGAGGGGGTGGGCTTAGAGGCCTCCTGGCAGAGAGGGCACATGGGCTGAAGGCTGAGTCAGGAAGGAGAGGGCGAGTAGGGGAGCTGAGAGGTCAGTGTAGATAGTGGGCTGCAGGGAAGGCCATGGGGAGAGGAGTGTGAAAAGAGCTGAGATGAGGAGGGGCCTTGAAGGACCTGTTAAAGATGGAGGCAAAACTGCAAGCTTGAGAAGGACTCGCTCATACATGTCTGTGCTTCCAAAAGAAGAGGCTATCTTTTTGAGGATGTTTGCATAGCAACCAGCTCTGGAAGATGGAGATAGTGTCTCTCCAGTGGAGGACAGGTTTATTTGCTGTCCAGTGTAATAGTGATAATAAGTATAATGACATCCAGGGCAAAGGCTTGCAGCCCATTATAAAACATTGGCTTTTCGGGCCGGCCGAGTGGCTCAATTGGTTAAGAGCTTGCTCAAGAGTTTGAGCTCTGAGCAACAGCAGTTCGAGTCCTGGCCCGAGCTGAGCAGTCGCTGAGCTGCCAACAGGGTTGGCAGGATGGCTCAGCTTAAATATATATATATATATATATATATATATATATATATATATATATATATATATATATATATATATATATATATATATATATATATAACCTGATGAAACATTGGGATTTCCTAAGCTTGGAGTTCCCCAGCAAATGCAGTATCACGCCCAGCCCCAAATTCCTCCTATGGGACTTGGGGGTTAAGGGAAACTGATTTAACTGAGAAGCTCATGATGCCTGCTGTGCAATGAAAAATAAAGTCCTTCATCTCTGGTCCAGGAGTCTCATGTCTGCAGCTAGCATCCATGAAACTGTGGCAGGCTAACTTGTTAGATTGCAAGGGTAAAATCTCAGAGACTTCAGAGTTCATGACAATGGTTCTTTTGCCTTTCAGTAGGACTATTGAGACAGGCTCCACCACCCGTCCCTCCCAAACACCTGTCTGTAATGCCAAGATCCTTTTAATGTCCTCTACAGCAGAGATAATTCATTCCAGACTCCCCAAACAGCCCTCCAAGGCTCTGGAGCAGGTTCCTACTCTCTTACCATCACCTCCCGTCACTCTATCCCTGCTCCAGCTCAGGTAATCATCCCCCCTGCACACCTTCTCTACTCTCTTATATCTTTGCCTTTGTCATGCTGCCCCCTCCAGAAAGGTCACCCTTCATCCCTTCTGTCTGTTCAAGTCCTGTTCACCCCTTGGGGCCAGGATTCTGTCTCACCTCTTCCATAAGGTCTGCCCAGAGCCCGGTCAGGATTTCCCTCTCCCTTCACTGTCCCCCCACTTTCCTTGTCTTGTAGGGTCTACAGTCCTTTTTGCCTTGTATTGTGGCTATCTGGGTAAACCCTGCGCTGCCTCTCCAGGAGGTTCCCTACCATCATCTCTGTGATATTCTCAACCCCTGCAGCCTGTGCATACAGTCGGAGCTCAATAGATGAGTGATGTACTGAAGAGATGAACTGCACAGGAAATGGTCTTGCAGGATGGAAGGATGAAAGGACGGTGGAGCGGAAAAGGAATTCCAAGAAGGGAGAAGAGCGGGAACAGAGGCATGGAGGTGCGAGTGGCTAGGGCAAGGGGAACAACCACTTTGGGTGGGACCGCATTCGTGAAGGGGGGGTCAAAAGAGACGGGTCTGAAAAGGTGATAAAATGAGGCCCAGGGCTCACCAGGGCCTTGGCCATTGGGACCCTCATTCCTCGCTGAGGCAGGAGCCCTGGTGACGCCTCTCCAGGGTCTGGGTTCCTTGACCAGGGGATTCAAGAGGCTGCTCCCGGGGCAGCCCCTCTTCCTCTCCCGCCCACCCCCTCCGCCTGCGTCGGCAATCAGAGCCTCGCTCGCAGCCCCAGAGCCTCGCACTGACGCGGGCCCGCGCGTGAGTCAAGCCTGCGTCACGGCGCCCCGCCGCCAGGGTGGCCTTTCGGAAAGCGAGGGAACAGTTCGCGTTGCGCTCCGCCCAGCTCCGTTCCGCTCCGCAGAGCTGGAGGGACCGGGGTGCAGGCAGGGCGGCGCTCGGCTCCGGCTCCCTCAGTCCCACGCGCTCCCTCAGCCGCGGGGCCTGGGTCCCCGGGCCGCTCCCCAGAGGGCTGAGCGCACCGCGGCTGAGCGCTGAGCCGGGACCGGAGGGGAGGGTGGGAGCGAGCAGCGAGCAGAGTCGCGTGCACGGGCGCGCGGCTCCGGGTCCCCTCCCAGCCTCGGCCGGTGCCTGTCGTCGCCAGACTCCGGCTGCCAGTGGGAGGGGCTGTGCGCCCGCGACCCGCCGGGGACCGCAGCTGTTCAGCGGGAGTGTAGGGGCCAGTCCGCGCGACGGTACACTCGGGACAGGTGAGTCGCCGGTCGCGCCCCGCCTGGCTTTACCCGGCCTGCCACCGCAACTTTAGCTGTTCCAGCCCCGCCCCAGCCAGCAAGGCCTAAGAACCGGGGTGTGAGGCGGCACTGCCCAGGTATCCGCCTGGCCCTGCGAGAGCTGGGGCCCCTCCCGCCTCTCCAGCCTCCGTTGCCTGGCGACGGAGCACGGGGGTGGGGTGGGGGGGAACGCGGGCTCCTCCGGCGCATCTGGGTGCCTAGCGCGGTGCTCACGTGTTGGACACCGGGCTCCAGCTTCCGGGGCTCAGATGGGCCCAAGAACTCCGGAGGTAATGGGGCAGAGCTGTAGAGGCAAGCGCCCGAGGACCACCAGAGAGGAGGCCCGGCTGGTCTCGCTGCCTGGAGCTGCGCGCCCAGGGCGCAGTTCCCTCCGGTAGGCTCCTGCGCCGCTGGAGACCCCTGCCCCAGCTGCTCGGCTTCAGGCCTGTGACCTTGACAGTAACATTGGCAGGAGAAGCAGAGCGTTCACGCCCGAGATGAATATTTAATTCCCAGCCCTGGGTCTGGTCCTGGCTGAATTTGGAGCTAGCGGGGAGCCCATGCTCCCTCCAGAGAAGCGCATCTGGGAACGGAATGGCGGAGATGGATGACGAACGCGGGGTGCAGGTCTAGAGGGGGCGCCGTCGAGAGAGAGAGAGAGAGAGAGAGAGAGAGAGAGAGAGAGAGAGAGAGAGAGAGAGAGGCCTCTGCCACGTTTATACCTGTGCACACGGTCACACGGTGCTCTCAGGCGATGACTCCAGGGGCAGTACTCCAGGGGCGCAGCCGCCGTGCAAGGAAGCCTGGTGTTTCCTTTTAAAGCCCGAACAGCCCTGTCAGGGCTCCAAGTGTTCAGAAACCCTGAGGCCGCTCCCCGTACAGGACCCAGTTGCTGTCAAGAGGAGTTTGTCTTTTTAAAAAGAATTTTGTTCCCAGCCTTCTTACCTTCTTTGAGAAATATTTTAACGGGAGCTTTGGATTAGGAAATTTCTAACCAGAGTTACCTTTGGGGGCAATTCAGCTGGAAAGGCAGACAGGTGGGGTTGGGTTGGAAGAGTCTTTTGAGGACAATGCCCTTGTTAACAGGAACTTCCAGAAACTAAGAAGATCCCGTAATGGCTCAAAAAAAAAGACATCAACCAAAACTTTAGTTAGATCCTTTTAGGCTGTGCTGGACACACTGATTGATGTCTGGAGAACAAGGTCACAGTGTGTTGAGGTTAACAGTGGGGACTTCTTGTGTCTTATGCTGTGCTTACAGTATCCCATGGTCCATGCGGTGGACCCACCATCTGGGCAGGAAGGGCTTTGAGGTCACACCTGATTGTCCTTGGCTGTGGCCCATCCATGGGGATGTTGGAGGCTCCAGCTCCTCTGCTGGCTTTTTCTCGAACGGAGCAGCTGTGGCTAAGTAGGTGGTGAGTTTCAGCAAATCCCTACAGTTCAGCCTGGAGGGTGACTCAGTGCAGGAGGCAAATCGTGCCCACCGGCTCTGATTGGAGTGAGTTTGTTTGGCTTGAGTCACACACAGAGTTGTGTCAGATGCTTGTGAGTTGAATGAAGGTTGGTACCCAGACTTGTGAGTGGGAATGGCTGGAGCTCCAGTGATTTGGGGGCCACTGACCAGAGGTGGGCAAGTCCTCAGGGTGAGCTAAGCAGAGCTCAAGCTGCCTGTCTTCTGGGCAAGGGTCCTAGAGCTCTAACCCTCAGGAAGGTGAGCAGGGCCAGGTTGGGGGGAGGGGTTGGAGGAGAGGCTGCCAGGGAGGCTCTGTGATTGTGATCAGAATGGCCCAGTGCTCTGCCAGTGTGGGGTGACCTTGGGCAAATCACTTTACCTCTGAAGCCTTGGTTCCCTCAGTTGAAAAACAGGGATGCCTATGGTGCCTTTACCGAAGGCTTATTTTGAGCCTAGTGTGGACACAAAGCAGATGCTCATTAAATGTGAGTTCCCACCTCTTTCTTTATGGGCCTTAACCAGAAATGGTTCTTTCTCTCCCAGTCCTTGCACCTTGGTGTGAGAGGGAGTGTGGAGACAAAAGAAAGTGGCAGGGCTTCACACATGGTGGAGAAGGGCCCATACCTCCGCTTCAAACTGACCTGCTTCCAACCCTCATTTCTCCCCAGGAGACCCTGAGTGGGAAAGCCCGAGTAAGGGGAGGGCTGCGGTAGGGGGTGGGGCAGGGCTGTGCTGGAGCTAGGTCGGCCGAGCGCCCGCGGCTGTCTATGATAGCTCTAGAGCAAGACGCCTTAGGATTGTTCATGACTGTGGCCTGGCCCAAGTTGCAGCACTTGCTGGGTGGACTTCAGGGGTCCCTGTCCTTTGATCACATCTTGCCATTGTCCTCCCCGCCTGTACTAGCCATAATGGAGTTGGAAGCTCCAAGACAACTGTCCAGGAGAGACGAGGCTGGCCTTTCCAGGAGATGAAAGGCGTGTGTTCCCTGCCTTCCCTGAACGTCCTGGGCTCCTGTTCCCTCCTCTGTAATGTGTCTAGACTTGGTGCTGAACTAAGATTTGTATGCCTCAAGAGTGGAGGACATCAGGGGTTCCCCAGTACAGAAAGAAAGGCTGTGCTGACCTAGGGGACTCCAACCTGCTCCTGGAAATGTGTGCATGTGTGTGTGTGTGTGGCACATGCACCCTGAAAATCAGCGCCCTTTCCATTGGATCTCGCAAATTCCTAGGATGCTAGAGACAGAGATGAGAGGGTTCCTGAGAAGCAGGCCCCTTCTGCCTGTGCATCTTCCCTTCCGTCAGGCTCCTTTTCTGCTCAGGTTTGCTGCAGCAGGACAATTCATCATTAATCCCTTTAAAGCTGGCTAAGATAAGCAACAGAATCGTTTAAAGGGAAGATGCATTGGGGCTTTTATCCTAGAACCAGGTCTGAGTTATCATTCACTCCCAGGCTGGGCTTCAAGAAGTCCTCACAGCCACACATCTGGAGCACTGGGATGGGGGAAAAAAAGCCAAAACTATCACTCAGCCCCTGCAGAGCCCTTTGACACTAGCCTCCCTCCACTGGTGTCCCAGACTTCCAAAGGTGAAAAGCATGGTACCATGGGTAGACCTGTGTAAGTGCACTCTCCTGAGCTCAGGTGGGACAGTTATCTGGGGGGGGGGGGGAAATGCCTACTTTGTGAGCGTGTAGGAGGGGCGGGTATAGTTCTGGATTCCAGCAGCTCACTCGTGCTTGGCACATAATGATAATATGCAGATTTTTATTGAGGCTTCTGCACTGTGCTAAGTGCTTTATTCATACACCATCTCTTTAATCTTCACTATAATCCCAGGAGACAGATATTGCTCTCTGCAATTCACAGATGTGGGACTTGAGGTTCAGAGAGGTTAACTAATTTGCTCAAGGTCACCCAAGTAGTGAGTGGTAACCTGAGAATTTGAACTCAGGTCCGTCAGATTGTAAACTTCCTGCTCTTAGCCACCATGTGATATGTCTCTATAATAAGTTCTTAATAAATGTTTGCTGACCACCTAACCATTTACTCAAATGAAGTTGTCTAACCCTGTGGGTCCAGTTTTTTAAGCTCGTGCCCTGAGAAAGGGGGACATGAGGCTCTACCAATGGGACATTGATAGAGAATGAACAACCTACATTTCTAGTTTGGGGAATATAGTATATGGTTCCAGGTAGGTTGGAATCCAGAAGATCCCAGGGTCCATTCCGGTGCTTTATTGCCCTGTCTGTCTTTCTCTTCCTGACCTCTGTCTCCCCTGACCTCATTCCCTTAAAGTTTGTCCAAGTCAGGGGTTGGTGCTGGGAGCAGTGAGGGAAGAGCCAGAGCAGACTGGATGTTGCCCTGAGGACTTTTGCATCTGCACAGTCAGGACTGCCAGTCGCTGGTGGGAGCTCTGGTGTGTCAGGTTTCTCTGCTGGAGACTGTGTGCCAGGCAGGGACTTTCCAGCAGTTTCTGGTGAGACCCCAGAGCAAAACTGCTGACATTTCAGGATTATTCCTGAATAATATGCTTGGGACACTGCTTGCTTCCTGGTCTTGTATTCTGGAGAGCCACTCTCCTCTTAGGGGCTCTTGCACTTACATCCTTGGCTATTCTGGGAAACTTGGCACCTGCTTCCTCTTGCTTCTCCATCTCTATTCTTGCTGAGAAATCACCATCATGGAAGAACAGACCCAGACTGACCTAGCCTCCCTGGCACCTCCACACCATCCTTGGTCTTGGTGGGAAGTTCCTGTGAGGGTGGATAATTGGAATGTAAGCATTAGTACTCCCCTCAACCCCAGAGGATACAAAGAGGTCTTCCCAGAAACCCTTGCTCCATAGGCAGCCATTTTGTGGAGACACAGTCCTTTGATAATTTCCCCCCAGCCCTGTCATGAGTAATTTTAAAAATTAAAACATTGTTTGTGTATGGATAAATCCAGGTACCTAAAACATATATAATTAGATCTTCACCGTGTACAGAAAACTCATATGTGAAAACATAAGCTCAGATGCAAGATGGATTACTGCATTACATTATTCTCATGTTCAGAACCAGGTACATTTCATTAGGAAATAAATCTGGGTCAGGTGAGCCTTGGGCAGTCTGAGTCCCCAACTTAAGGGTGAGACGTAAAGCCCTGTTTGCTCTGTGACTTCTTGCAGACTGAAGGGCAAAGGTAGGGTCAGAGGAAATAATGCCCCAGCTCCAAGGCCCTGGGGTCATCTTATCAGCAGCATTTGTCCCACTGAGCTGCCAGTCTGCCTTCTAGAACCTACTCATGGCTCATTTGAAGATAACAAGTTGCCTCTCGCTGTACTCCGTCATTTCAAATTACTGGTTTAATTAGAATTTCTGCTGGATTCTGTGCACCACTAATTTGCCACCTAGTCTTTTGGTTGCAAATAGAATTCATTGATCCACACCCCAAATTCCTGCTGATTGCATTTTCTCTATTTATAAGACTCCTGGGCTCCTGTGGTTTGAAATCCCCACGCCAGGTGGGGAATGCTCTTTGATA